AAAGTTGATAAAAGCTTAGGGGCACCTGTATTATTCTGCCCTGGAACTTACATATTTGTTCACAATCCTTTTCAAGATTGGGGCACTTTTAGGGACCCAGAAGGATGAATCTCTAATGGCTAATTTTAGCCCAATGGTAGGCAGTGGATGGGGAGAGACTGGGGCAAAAATACTGCTCATTACTCTTTAGATCACAAAATTATACCATGTAGGTGACTTCCTTCTTCCAAGGCTATGTCTGCCCCATAGCTGAACTGACCTCCTTGCCCTCATCCCTTGAAAGATGTCTGCATGTTCACACCTGTTTCTGGAAGTGGGGTTTGTGTTTAAGGTAGAACTTCAGTTCCAGACTCAGGTGACTCAGGAAGAGCCACCTTGTTGCTGCTGGCCCAGCCCTGAGTCTCATGGCGTGGGTTGAGACCAAGCCTTGATTTCAGCTTCTGGTTTTATTTCCCAGGGTCTGAACTCCTGTATTCATAACTCATCCAATATTCAACTCCAGGATTCCCTCTGTCCCATTTCCTCAGGGATTAGAATCCTGGGACCTGCTGCCTACCTTCCCACCTCCTATTTATATCCCCATATGCCTCTGTATGGTCATGTCTCCTGGACAGGGTACACTGTCCTCCAGTAAGGCTGAGCCTTCCTGAAGTCCACTGCTTGTCCCAGGGACCACCTGACTGATATTTGCTACTCTCTTAGTATCCTGTGTCTTTCCTACATCTGTCAACCATTTGTTTATTGAATGTTTATGGTGTGCCAGGCTTAATGTTGATGGCAGTTTATAAATGTTCTCATTTCATCCTTACACCAGCCCTAGAGAGGTTGGTTCTATTATTAGACCTGTCTGAAAGATGAGGAAATTGAAGTGTGGAGAGGTTAAGTAAATTATCTATCTCCTACAGATACAAAGTGGCAGGGCTAGGGTTATGATCCACAACTGTTACACTCCAGAACCTGAGCTCTTCACACTGGGCTCTCCTGCCTGTATGGTGGCTGTCCTTCACCACCTGCAGCTGAGGCTGTCCGAAGTACTCGTTCTACCCCAAAAGGCACATGCTTTTGCCTTTTTTGTCTTGCTGTGTCCAGTGAGGTTAGTTCTGCTGTGCCTAATTGGACCGTGGGACACATAAGGTGCAGGTGGCCCATAGTCAGATGAGTCTCAATGCACAGCCCCAGGGTTCTTGGCTAGCTACCTCTATGAACACTTGTTTGGCACATAATAGGCACTCAAGAAATATTTAAGTGGATGAATGCGTGAGCTGAGTGGTAGCATGGAAGTCCCTTACTTCACTGCCTTGCTTTGCAAGGGGTCTATATACTGGAATTCTGCTGTCATGCAGACCTCAATACTGCACTGCAGGCAAAATCTCCCAATACTGAGGTTTAGTATCTCCCTGGGTCTAAAATGAAACCCATCTTTAAGTTGGATTCTCCTTTATAAATAATCAGGTTATTTAGCTTATTTCATAGAAATTCTTCCTGTATCCTGAAATTTGGGCACATGGGGAAGAGATGTGTAGACCCCATTCTAGAACATGCCAGAGAGTACCGTTTTGATAGAAAATGTGGTATATATAATAGGTGGGCTAAAGGTTGAGAGTTCAACTAGTGTGTTTGTAAATAGCAAAGATATTTCCATCTAACAGAGGCATGAATCATCATATGAGAGTCACATGAAATAAACATCTTCCATTATGTTGAGGTCTGGCTAAAGGGCAAGAGAAGCATCTAATGAATTATATTGTGTGAGTGTTTTCAGCTTTTTGTGTATGTGTGTGTGTGTGTGTGTGTGTGTGTGTTCATGTGTTGATGTGTACCTGTGCATTTATATGTGTATGTGTGTCATGCATATGTAATATGTGGGTGAGTGTGTATGTAATTATGTATGTATGTATGTATGGTATGTTTGTGCAGATACAACTTTGTGTTTGTATATGTGCATGTATGTATGTGTTTGCATGTGTGTTCATGTGTATGTTTGTGGTTGTGTGTGTGTGTGTGTGTGTGTATGGGAAGGGAGAACCAGACTGAATAACATGCAAAGGAGAGCAAACACTGAGGTTAGGTTCATTCTTTTAGAGTTCGGGTAGATTGGGGTGAAACCTCGGTTTGCAAGGGAAGTGCAGGCATATTATAATGAGTTTATGATGACTAGGGCTTATTATCTAATGAAAATGATCTAGTGTGAGTTCCAAGTGTAGACAGGTAGGAAATAAAGCTGAAATTTAGGTGCTGTGGGCATATGCTTATAACATGACATATTTATAACTAAAGTGACTTATTGGATCATAGTTATATAATTTGAGGATTTAAGAGAGAGTAGCCATATGGGAAAAGACTTGAATTTGAAATCAGGAGGTTCAAACGATTTTCTTGCCTTTTAGTAGCTGTGTGGTTTTGGGTGAATCAGTCTATCTTCTCAACCATAGGATAGGGGTTAAAAATACCCATCCTAGCCTCTTCCACAGTCCTAGAGCACAAAATTTAAGGGTTGATGTGACAAGCAAGTAAAGAAACTGAAACAGCATGTGTGAAAAAACTTCAGCAGCTGCAAAGCTCCGTACAAAGCTAAATTATTCTATGTCTGAGCTGGGGCTCACTGCCGTTTTTTTTTTTTTTTTTTTTTTTTTTTTTTTTTGGG